ATCACTCCCTACAGTTTTACTTTTTTTAGAATCGCTCCACCATTCTCAGATCAACCCAAGCCTTTCTTTCAAACTACCCAAATAATGATGATAGTCATAAGAGAGTATTGATACCATTTTCACATATAAGAAGTAAACAATTTGACCCTATTGAATCCCTTATAATTGGCCTTTAATATTTACCTTATATTTCTCCTGGATGCTACATGTTGAATTTTCCATTAAGTTCTGGGGGTTTTGTCACAAGTGCCTGAAAGTCTTTGAGTTTGTTAAATGTCCTTTTTTTTTTTAAATTCAGGATTATACTTTAACATTGCTGGGTATTTTCTCTTTGGTTGTAACTCCAGCTTTTTTGCTCTGTGAAGTATGGCATTCTAAGACCTATGGTCCTTCAACGTAGTAGCTGCTAGGTCTTGTGTAATCTTTCTTGTAGCTCCATAATATTTAAATAGTTTTTTTCTTGTTGCTTCCAATATTTTCTCCTTAACCTGGGAGTTTTGAAACTTGACTATGATATTCCTGTAAATTTTTCTCCTGGAATCTTTTTCAGATGGTGATTGGTAATTTTTTTTTTCCCATTTCTGCTTTGCCTTCTTGTTCTAGAACTTCAGGGCAATTTTCCTTGATAATTTTTTGTAATACTGTATCAAGATTCTTTTTTTTAATCATTATTTTTAGGTTGTTCAACTATTATATTATTTCTCCTCAGTCTGTTCTCCAGATCAGTTGTTTTTCTGATGAGATGTTTCACATTCTCTTCTAGTTTTTCATTCTTTTAATTTTGTTTTATTACTTCTTGGTGTCTTAGAATGTTATTAGCTTCCCTTTGCCCAAATAGGAATTATTTTCTTCCTTAAGTTTTTGATTCTCTGTTTCAAATTAGTTGACATTCTTTTCATAATTTTCTTGATTTTCTTGGATTGCTCTTATTTTTTTCCCCTGATTTTTTTCCACTGACTGTATATAGCAGGGGTTCTTTGCATAGGGTCCATGAGTCTATGGATAGATTTCTGAGAAGTCAGTGTGTGTGTGGCGGGGGAAGAGCAGAATTATGTCTTTATTTTCTATAATCTTTCACTGAAATTTAGCACTTCTCTCAATTGTGGATGTAAACAGCAATCATTATTTCGAGAAGGGGTCCAGAGGCTTTTACCAGACTGTTTGAGAATTTTACAAAGTTAAGAACTCCTGGACAACAGTAACTTTAAATTATAGGAAAAAAACTATGAGAAAAAGCATAGTTGGAAGCTATTGCTCATATAGAAGGTCGTGTTCTGTTTGGAAAACAAAATTGGATGACAGAGTGGGCAATAGAGCAGCCCAGTCGTTCTAATGGTAGGAGGCATGACTATTAAGATATTGTTTCATTAATTGCTATTAAGATATTGATTTATGTGCCTAGTCTCTTAGGTGAGCTAGGGGAGGGAACAAGGAGTGATAAACCATGACGTAAATCTGTACCAGAAGCCTTAAGAATAGTGTAGCAGTTTATGAATGTGATAAGAACTAGGGTTTCTTACCGGGGTCAGAGGAGGGAAGATCAGAGAGAGAGACCTGGAGCCTGAAAATATCTTTTTATTTTAAAAAATTAATTTATTTATTTTTAGTTTTCAGCATTCATTTCCATAAGATTTTGAGTTCTAAATTTTCTTCCTTTCCCTGAGATCGTCTGATATAACCTCTACATATACATTCATATGAAAATATCTTTCGCATATATGTTGGTGATCCCCATCATCTTGGAAAGCTAGTACACAGGTATATGAGCTGTCTTTCTTGAGTTTTATCCCTGACAAAGGAAATAAGCCAATGAAGGAGTCTAATGTAACCATTTTCTAAGAGGATGGCGTGGGTTTGGCAAGAGTTTTCTAGCAAGCCTTGGAACATCTTTTGTATCACAGGACATTCCATGTTTCAGTCATGTCTACCAGAAGTCATAGATGAACATAGGTCATGTCTGTAGCCTGCTGTTGATTGGGCATGGCAGAGGAAGGGAGCACTGTCCTGGTGGGTTGGGAAAGTGCTAAAAAGGTCTGCAAGCTGGCTCTGACCTGAGGTGTGAGTCAACGTGCATCTCTTGTCAAATAAGTATGGAAAGATTAGTGTCATTTTTCACTCAAGCTAATTCATTCCACATGGGTGTAAATAATTCTTCCAAAAATGAATCTACCAGAACAAGTGGATTCCATGCCAAATACAGAAAGGTCTGGTCTGTTGTAGCCACGTTCCCATCCTGGAGCCCATTGATCTGGGGAGGAAATTTTTGAAAGTCTTCCAGTAGTCCTAATAGAGACCATGATACATGAATCAAGGCCTCAGTCTGTGGGAATCCTGGTGGATAGAGAACCATAAGCAACTTTCACTGTGCCAGGAGCCCCATGAGGGTCTCCATTTGCTTGGAGAAAAAGTCTAGGGCACCCAGATGCCACTTGGGTTTCTGTGTCTCCCTTCCAAGGACAGTCTCATCCAGAAATGTGTGCCTTTTAGTGTCTCCCAGGCTTCCTATGGGATGGTTAGTTTGAAAGGATGAGCTAACAGTTGCCACAGCTCTGAGGTCTTTGGAGCCTTCTGCTGGGCTCAGGTAGCCCTGCCGTGGCCACTGCAAGCCATTTATTTGGAGCTGGAACGATAAATGTTATGAGATAATGCAGGATTGGTTCATGCCAATGATTACAGAAACTCCTGGACAGGCACATAGTGAGGCAAGCCTGGAGACAGCCAGCACCCTAAGGCCAGGCCAGTCTATTATTAAATGGTCTGCAGTCCACCAATGTTCAAGAGGCCAAGAGTAAGGTGAGAGGCTTGGCTGACTGCCAGAGTTCAGAGCCAACGGAATCTATTAAAGACCAAGAAATGGAAATGTAGGGAGTCCAAATAAAGAGCTCTGACTGAAGTGAACCTGCATTCCTGGGTGTGTGAGGTAGGGGAGATGGTCTCTGACAGCCAATTTGATACTTCTGAGCAAGGATCTTCCCTTCTTTTTACCCCCACTCTCTACCGGTAGCCTCTCCCTGTCCCTCAGCCTATGCTGGACCCCCCAGCGTATGTCCAGGGTCTGTCCACTAGTCAGGCAAGAAGGACACCTTACCAGTTGTCTCAGTGGCTTCTCTTCTGGGACCTTAGAGTAGAGGGCTTCAGTGGCCAGGGTACGCTTGGTGTTGGACCTAGAAAGACCCCAATTCCATTTTGCAGTGTGAACTCTGAGAAGGTACAGCTGGGACAGGCAGACACCAACAGACACAGAATTGTGAATCACAAAGTTTTAATCATCACAAAGTTTCCTTTTCAGTGACCTCAGTCAGTCCCTGGTGTCCCACAACTCCTGGGGCTAGAATAATAAGCCAGATTGCTTGCCTTGTGCTCCATGCAGAATTGGACCTTGCTGTATTCCTGAGCCCTGACAGGATGATATGTTCTTAATGTTCAGTCCTGAATTTCACTCTTCCGTTCATTTGTCTCGTTTGCTCACGCACAGCCTCTTGGGTCAGCTGTCGATAGAGCTGGTAGCCTTCAGGAGACAGATTGTCAATGCTTTTCCCTCCATCTTTGTATAGCTTCCCTGACTGCCTTCAAATCCCACATAAAGTCCCCCCCTTCTGCAGGAAGCCTTTTCTGATCTCCCTGAATTCTGATGCCATTCCTTGGTTGATCACTTCCAATTTAGCCACTATATGTCATTTGTATATGGTTATTTGCATGATGTCTCCCCCATTAGACTGTAAGCTCCTTGAGGGCAAGGACGGTCTTTTGCCTTTCTTTGTATCTCCAGCACTTAGCATAGTGCCTGGCACATAGTAGGTGCCTAATAAATGTTTGTCAGTTGACTGACACTCTAGCAGAGAAACTGACCTGAATCTGTGAGAAAGATAAGAGGAAGAGGGGATCTATTCACTGCTAGAGAAAGTGAGAGGGAGAGAGTCATCTGTGACATCCTGAGACTGTGGTCTACACTAACAATATCCCTCCTTAAGCAAGTCATGGAATATTGTGGCAGAGAGGAATTCGTTATGGATCATTGGGTTAGATGCTGGAGAAGATATAAAACTTTAATGGGCTTGGTCCTTTAGTACAGGCTCATCATACTGCCTCACACATTTAAACTCACCAGCTGTGTGACCCTGGTCAAGTGACCTAGCCTTTGTTTGCCTCAGTTTCTTCATCTGTAAAATGGGGATAATAACAGTACCTACCTCCCAGTGTTGTGAGAATGAAATGAGATAATATCCATAAAACACTTAGCACAGTGCCATGCACATAGTAGACACTATATAAATGCTAGAAACTTATTATTATTCAGTTGGAAGAGTGCAGGATTTAGAATTAGATGCTTGGATCCATATCTCAACTCTGCTGCTTGCCAACCACGTGGGCTTGGGGAAGTCGTTTAATCTCTCTGGGCCTCAGTTTCCTCACTTGTAAAATAAGACAAGATGACTTCAAAGATCCCTTCCAGCAAGAAATCTATGATCCTATAGTCCTATAATGCACATCCTTCATTTCGAAGATAGAGAAACTGATGCCCAAACTGAAGCAGACACTTTTCAAAGATCACAGATGTAGTTTCTCTCGAGAGATGTCAGATCTCTTTATTCGCATTATACCACCAGGCTTTCCTAAGCTCTCTTATTTTGAAAGACCCATAAGGGAACAACTTGAGTTTTTCCTCTAATTTGGCTTTAAACCAGGAATTCTTAACCTGGCATCTGTAAAATTTTTAAAAACATTAAAAAAAGTTTTGATAACTATTTCCATATAATATTTCTTTTGTAATCCTATGGATTTTATTTCATGTTTTAAAAATAATATTCTGAGGAGGGGCACATGGGCTTCTCCAGACTGCCCAAGGAGTCCAGAACACAGACTATCTGTGTGTTGCTTTAGACTATCTGTGTACTGTAAGCACTCAGGAGGTGATAGGACACCTCTAGAAATGGTCATGGTGATTCTGCTGTGTCTGCATTGCCCAGTTTCATCTATGGTTTTGTTTTTTCCTTCGTCAGTGTTCGACTACAGTTATAGGGATTACATTCTGTCCTGGTATGGGAACCTCAGCAGAGATGAGGGGCAGCTATACCACCTGCTCTCCGAAGATTTCTGGGAAGTCGCCAAACAGCTGCGCCACCGACTGAGTCATGTGGATGTGGTGAAAGTTGTCTGCAGTGATGCTGTCAAGACTTTGCTCACCCATTTCTGTGACCTTAAAGCTGCCCATGCCAGGTAATACCTTTGAGCTGGAAAAAAAGTTACCCAGGGCCTTTGTTTTCTGTTTCTTCTTGTTGGGTTGGGAATCAAAACATTCAAACGGGTCACAGTGCCTCTCATTTGTACTTGGGTTCAGAAGAAGAATGCATGTTGGTCTGGGGTTGGGTGTACAGTTGTATGGATGTATTTTGTTTCTAATTTTATAATCAGTTTTTAAAAAGGGATTGGTTTTCCATAGCAGATGCTTTTCACATGAAAATATTCTCAGCATCGTAGTTACTTATGAGAAAAATCAGTTTTTACAACTATCTTGAGCATTGTTGAACACTTTGTAATTTTTAGTTAAATGTAATTCATGTTTCTTCTTATAGAACACTGTATTAAGAACTGCTTAGCATTATAACACCTTGAAAACTGATTTAGAGAAACTGCGTGTGTGATATTTAGAGATGGCATTTGAATGTGAGAATGTAAAAAAGATACCAAGAACTAGTGTTTGGGCACATAGTAAAAAAAAATGAGTCCTTTTGCTAGTGTAACAGCTTCCTTGGGTGGGTCATGCCTCCGTAAATGAATGTGCACTTTGAAGAAAGGAGCTCAAGCTATCATACCTACTATTGAGAGACATTATTTCTTATATTAATAACTAATTATTGAATTAGGACCAAGGCTTTTCCCCTTTTCTACTTTCTCATCTAGAAATCAACCAGTGTGGGAAATCTTGCTCAAAGACTTACCCAGGCTAAGGTCTAGTCAAAGATGGTAAAAAAAATTCTAAGTTTAGGCCAGGGGTGGGGAACCTGTGCCCTCGAGGCCACATGTAGCCCTCTAGGTCTTCACATGTAGTCCTTTGACTGAATCCAAACTTCACAGAACAAATCCCTTTAAAAAAAGGAGTTGTTCTGTAAAACTTGGACTCAGAGTACTTAGAAGTCCATATATGGCCTTAAGGCCACAGGTTCGCCACCCCTGGTTTAGGCAAATGGGTAGATTTCTGCTCATTGTGTTTACTCAGGTCTAGGAAAATGTGGATTCTCCCTTTTGTCAGAGGGCTGATATGGAGGGTGATGAATTCCTTTGACCAAGATTTGGATGCTTCGTGTCACATACCCCAAGATTGTCATTGGACCATAGCCCAGCCCCTACTGGTAATACTCATTTTCTCATTCATTGTTAACCAGTTAGAGTTAACTGTCACCCTCAGGAATACCCACTTTTCCAAGGGCATATAAGCTGTGAACCTGCTACTATGAGGATCTTTGGCATTCAAGAGTGCCACTGACCTCTTAATAAAATGACTAATTATCCACAAACTGTGTCTCTCAGACTTTTTAAACATCACACTGTGGAGTTCCTTCTTTCTTAGGTATCCTGCCAATGTTTTCTGGATGTCAGAGTCCTGTGGCCTTTCCCTGCAAGATTTCTGTTGCTTCCTTGTACATGGGTACTCTGGAGAGAAGAGGGCAAGGTAAAGATTCAGAAGGTATTGCCCAGGAACAATGTAGTTTGTGGTATAGTCATCTGTGCTCAGCCCTTCCGAGTTCTTTGTGCCTAAGATCCAGGGTATCTTCATCCAATGGTTAAGACTCCATCTTGGGAACTGTTGGGCAAATAAATGCATCGACTACACCATTTCTTAGGAAAGAGACACAGGAGGGTTTCTACTCTCACTAGGAGGTTTGCTTTTGATCTGGTCAGACAGGAAGACAGGAATGGAGTCATAATAAGGGGTTAAATAAGCTTACTTTATTCTAGTCTAGTCTTCTGAAAGAGAGTTTGCTGATAATGAGAGTGCCAACTCCTACAGCATTCCCTAACAACCCTTCTTGCAGGGGCCGGCGTGAAGAGGGAGCAACTAGCTCTCGTCTCATTGGGGTCAACCAAGACCAGTACAACTTGTGCACTCCCCTAAATCCCCTCAAGCCTCAATGGGGGCCGGTTGAGGCAAGCACACCGATTCCCCCTCCCAAGCCTTGATGAGGGCCAATCATTCAGCCTGCACATTCACCCCTAGGGGTTCCCCAGTCACTGACTAATGTCCATTTGCTTCATAGGGCAATAGACAAAGAAGGCATATTGCCAGCAATAGCCTCACAATTTTACATCACTTCACCCCTGTATCTACCACGACTGAGCAGTAGAAACTATTTTGAACCATGATCGTGAGAACTCATATCTAACACCTGGAAAGTAGGGATTATTATGGCTATGGATCCTGGGAAGAAAACTGTAAGAAAGAATAGCACAAATCCACTTTACACACAGGAACATTCACTTTCCTTACAGGGACCCACCAAACCAGGCATACAGGGTTAGCCACCCAAGAAATGTGGGTATTCGACTGTGAAGACGTCTCACCTGAATCTCTCTTTCCCTTCTTTTTGGAAAACCAGCTTTCAAAAGGAGGGCTGTAATGGGTCATCCTAGAGCACCAGGCTAAGGTGTCTGTTTCTCCCTGTCCACTTTTATGAGCTACCTACAGTTAGCCAGCCTTAGAATGGGACAGAGGTTGGTGCATTTCGATATGATTGCTTGCTGCCCCCACAGTTCAACTATCCTGGCTTCATTTTAATTTAACAAACATTCATTACCACTTGCAGAGCATTGGCCTAGATACTAGGGAAGATACCAAGTTTCCACAGGCAACATTATTCATAATGGAATTGGTAGGGGTCTCATCCCACAGGGATGGATAACTATCATGCAAAACAATATATAAATGCGCCAGGAATGTGAAAAACAGTGCTTTATATGATGCAAAGGGGGAAAGGTTGATCCTGATTTAGAGGTTTCAGGGAAGTCTTCACGGAGGAGAGAAGGTAGCATCTGAGTTAAGTTTTAAAGGATGAATGAAAATTTAATAGGCAGAGAAGGGTAACAGTTGGTAATTTGGTGAAATGTAAAGTTAAGGATTTGTAGTTAGTACTATTCAAATTCTTTTTCTGCTGTATATTACTCATGTGACTTGGGCAAGTCATTTCTGTCTGGGCCTCAGTTTCCTTTACTGTAAAACTCTAATGTTCCTTCCAGTTCTAAATCTTTGCTACAACATAGGGATCTGTGTATATGTTACGTTTTTAATGTTCTTTTCTCATTAACAACTTTGTGAAGTAGTATGTTACTTTTTCCATTTTACAGATGATGAACTTAAGACTCAGTGAGTTAAATGAATTACCTATCGTCACCTAGGTAGTAAACAGAATTTGAGCCCAGGTCTCCTAACTTGGTCAGCTGTAGGGTGTCATAGTGCATAGAGGGCCAAGCTAGGACTCAGGAAGACTCATCTTCCTGAGTTCATATCTGTCTGAGACACTAACTGTGTGACCCTGGGCAAGTCACTTAACCCTATTTGCCTCAGTTTCCTCATCTCTAAAATTAACTGGAGAAGGAACTACTCTAGTATCTTGGCCAAGAAAACCCCAGAAGGGGTCATGAAGAATCAGACATGATTGAATGATAACTCCTGACTCCAAATCCATTGCTCTTTTTAAACTATCTCATGTTGCTTTGAGAGGCCAGAATTTTTAACTTTCTAAAAATTTAATGCAAACAATCACAGATTTATAGACTTTTCCAGCATGTGTATAATTAACCAACAACCTCACTAGAATTTAAAGAGTGAAGACGTTTTTCAGCAGACCTGAATCAATTTGGTAAATGTTTTGCGTTGTCCCTTACTACATAATTACTTTTTTTATTAATGAATCTGGCCAAATAAGTCAACATAATTTTTCTTTACTTCTGTTTTCCATGTACTTTCAACTTATGGAGTGATTTTCAATTTGTTGTACTGCCAAGAAGTTTTATAAGCTGCTAAAGGGCACAGGGCCTAGTATAGTGCCTGATGCATAGCGTTGACCTTAATAAATGTTCATTGTTGGTTTAATTGGCTTTCTGCAGGGCTGGTTTTCAGGTGTTCCAGGTACAGAGGGGGACATGGAAATCCTTTTGGTGGTGTTTGCTCACCCACTCCCACTCAGAAGCATCCCACGCATATGAGTCAGACAATGCTAGTTCGGGAGAGAACTTCAGAGATCATGTGGTTTAACCCACTCGTTTCAGATATGAAAAAATGTTACTATTGGATATATTTCCAGGGGGAAAAAAGCCCTTACGGTTTTAGGGTTTTTTTGAGGAATGAAATATATAGAAATGGAAGTTTAGTGTTTTCTCCCTTATTCGTTGAGCTCCTGGGAACAATTCTTTCCCTCTGGAAATGAGAATTTTTTTTTTCCTTTTTGAAAATCAAAACCATCCTGTATCGATTACTTGTCTGTATAGATGCCTTCCAGCTGCATCATTTGGAGCAGATAGTGTTTGTTCCACTATTGTTAAAAGGCTTCAACTCGAATATCTTGGCATGTTGGAATTTTGAGATACTGGGTTAATTTCCATTTTTGAAAATATTTGTCAGCTTCTACTAAAGTAATTTTCCAGTGCCTCATGGAGGTTTGGAGGGGACTGTGAGTTCCCAAAGATGCCTGTGGAGTGCAAGCTTTCGAATATTCCCCAAAACTCAAAATGCTTCAATTACTGGGATAGGTTGTGTTTCTGCCCTCTCAGGATGGGCTTAGCTGAACTTGCTGAGACTCATCACCAGAAGGCTGGTCACCAGGTTTGGCCAGAACAACTCAGGAAGCCATCTGCTAAGACATGGTTGAATTATGATCTGCATTAGTGAGAAGAATACTTGTATTGATAAAATGACATCTCTGGAAGGAAAGAATTCCATTTATCAACCTATAGCTTCAAAAGGGAAATGTAATTAATTGATTTTTAGCATTTAGGAATGCTACCAATAACTAGAGTAGAAATAAATGAATATTCATAGGCAAAGAAGAGGTTAAAATATTTGTATTTGAAGAAGGTATGATGGCATATTTAGAGTATCTAAGAAACACACACACAAAAGCTTGATATAATGGCTTTTGCAAGATCAGGGTATGAGATAAATCCATAAAAACCATTAGCATTTCTGTGGAAAAGAAACCGCAAAACAGAGGAAATCAATGAAG